TTAAGTTCAGATTAGCAACATAATAACTCTTTGTAAACTGAACTTTTAAATATTTTTATATATAAGAACCTGCTGTTCGGTTTAAAGAGAGTTGACTGTATATGGATACATATTGTTACATTATATATAGTGTTGGTATATAAATACAAAATAGAAAAATAAAGACAATTCAGAATCCTCACTCAGACTAATCATTAGCACATGAATATGTAAAGAAATCTGAGCTTTAAACTTAACTTCTCAGTTAAATTATGTAAATAGAAAAATCTGTAAATATTTCTGTAAAATTAATTAATATTTAGTATATAGTCACTTAATAAAGAGTGCTACACATGCCTCATATGTCATAGGACATCTGAGATAGTTAAAAAAAAAAAAATCATTTAAAGCCTAGCACCTAAGGTTTGAGGTACAGAGGCATGAGATGCCTTGGGAACATGCTTATGGGCATGCCATTGTCTATTAGGCATACCCTAGTCATGTGATATATGTGTATCATATTTGATTGGCTAGCATGTTATAGTTGAGATCATTAAAGTTGTAAATTTTTTAATATTTTAATAACAAAATTTCAATTTAAGAAGTTCTGTAAAAAACTTTTATAATAATCATGATAGAAATCATGCAAACTTAACTATATATTGTGGTCACCATAATGCAAGTTCTATAACAGTAAGTCATAATAGAGTCTTATAACAGAATTTTTTAGTAATAGCAATAGAAATCAATATTCAGTAGTTATCAGAATACGTAGCAAGAATTTTTTACAGTAACTTATGGTAGAAAATCATAATAATTTTAACACAGATTAACTAAACTTTATTAACTACATACTTTAATCAACTACATACTATATATCACTAGAAAAATTATTTATAATAATTCTAGCAACAGAATTTTTTTACATTAAAATTTATGAAGCATTAGGTTTCTATATAAAAAGGCATGCCTATAACATGCCACAACTCAGGGCATGCCCTCAAAGGCATGCCTGATTTTTTACTCATGCCTCGAACCCTACTGGCACCTTATAAAATTACTCGAAATATAACCTGGATCAGTCTGAACAGAACAAAGTGAAATAGCAAAAAACAGAACCATGAAATAATCAAAAATAACTATCTAATTAAGTAAAAGTGTCGAAAATATGATTTTACTATATATAAACTATTTTTTTCTAACCCAACTCTAATGTATATTACTTAGAAACAAACGGGCTATGATTCTTCTCAAATTTATTATAAAACCACCCTTAAAATTTTATAAGAAGCTTCGAATACTAGAGAATTTGCAAACTCAGACTCAAAAATTAAACTGTCGTCAAAAAAGCAAAATTTATATATGAATTTTAGGTGCCAATCATTTGATCTATAATTAAAAATTTTACATGTGACAAATCGTGTGACTGTTAAGCCATTGCATATAATCAATACCAAATTTGATCTATAATTTTTTTTTTTTTTTTAATGCCCCAAAGTTTACAACAAAGACCCTGATCTTGGTATCAAACCCCGAGATCATTACGTATACAGGTATATAAATTACATTTCTTGCAGTTTATAATAATTCTCCTTTCTTTATTGCCATCTTCAGTAGTCCCGTTTCTCCTTTTAACGTTATTTATTAATTTTTCTTTGTTGTAAAAAAAAAAATATATATATATAATGGGAGACGACGACCATCATCACGATTTCCAGGAAGCTGGATCCGGTGCTTCAGCCACCTACCCTATTCAATGCTCTGCTCTCAGAAAGGTATTTGATGTAGTAGAATGTGAAAAATTATTAGTCTAATTATTGAATAGAGAATTTTCGTTTCTAGAATGGTTATGTTCTACTTAAGGGTAGACCATGTAAGATCGTCGAAATGACTACTAGTAAGACCGGCAAACATGGGCACGCGGCAAGTATTTTTTAATATATTTAGAATTACAAATGACAATAACAACGTTGATTTGACGATTTCTTGTTTGGATAATACAGAAAGTTCACCTTGTTGGTCTCGATATTTTCACTGGAAAGAAACTCGAAGGTGGGCGTGATTTTAAGTTTATGAAATAATTGGCTTATTACGTATAGTGTATTTTAACACCGATTTTCTATTTCGTGATAGATATTTCTCCTTCTACTCATAACATGACGTCCCGAATGTTAGTCGTAAGGATCTTTCTATTATCATTGACTTTGTGTTTTATACTGAATAATTAATTATGCATTTTTGATATCGTATTCAGGCACTGAATTCCAACTTTTGAATGTTGATGACAATTTCTTGAGCTTGATGACGAATGACGGTGCCACCAAGGATGATGTTCGTGTTCCTGAAGGTGAATTGGGTGAAAAGCTCCAAGCTGATTTCAATGAAGGTAAGAATAACTATTTGATTTGTTTAACATAATTTATGATTTTTATTCAGATAACTTTTTAAATATGCGTTCTCGATATGCTTAGGCAAGGAACTTTTGGTCACTGTTATCAGTGCGATGGGAGAGGAATCTGTTATCTCTTATAAAGAGGCACCTAAATGTATGTATAAAATCTTTTCACAAAATTTTTGCATTATTTTATTGACGTTTATATTTTTATTTTATTATAGCCTAAATTTCGAACATGATAATTTGTCTATATCTTCTTGCTTGGTTAAACAAAAGTAAAAAGAAATATTACAATAATACAATTGTATACAATTAAATTTTCGTTTATAAACTTAAAGATTTCAAAGAGCGGAAACATTCAAAACATAAGTTCAAATATATATAATTAAAAAAAAGGGATATTTTGGGACATGTTTATTTGTTCATTGGTTTTTAATGTCACTATCGGATACCTTCTATCGATTATTTTTTGTCGAAAAAAAATATAAAAAAAAAATTTTATTTTTTATACGTATGTATTGTCGATTTATCATTTACTCCCAAGAAGAATAAAACGGTAACATACAATTTGCGCCCCAGTATTAATAAATTATAATCCTTATCGTTCGTGGCTATATTACAAATGTGATCCTCTTTTTACATGCGTACTTTCCTGTAAGAATGCTAATTTGGAATCCGTTCAACCAATCCGAGATGACGATTGGTGTTAAACCTTCTGATCACGTGCTTTACGTGATTGTCTATAAAGATCTGGTCAACCAATAAAGTTTGGCTTAGTTCGAAATGCTTTTTAACGTAGATGCTCTAGTAGAAGCTATATTTAGGTTTATTAAGAATTTTAAAATATATATTAGTATATAAAAACCTATAAAATGGATAGTATATACTACAGTCTAACCTCGATATAATCACTAGCTTGGGAAACAAGAATCTGGTGATTATAAAAAGAGGTGACTATATAAAGGTGTCAGAGCCGTTAAGTGAAGGGGCCTTTTTAAGTAGCCTTATTATCCCCTTAACTATAAATTTGTTACCTTT